ATATATATTATATGAAAATGAAACTGACTCGTGATTAACTTGATAAGTTCTGAAAATGAAAAACAAACTTAGGCATATACTTCTTTATATCCACTAGAAATAAATTTTGCAACTGTCTAGACCATCATGATGACAGGACTTGTAATTAAAAGATATATATATACACTCACAAGTGGGGCTTGGTGGCATATGCTAACACATTTGAACTTTGGTGCAATTATCAACATTGATATGCCTTTAATAAGCTTACTCATATATACGTAATATCATAGTATTCTTCGACGGATATGCCAATGCCGGGCTTTCTTTCTCTTTTCATATTTCACAATCCGCAACAGAGCATGATATTTACATTATCTTACCTTGGCCCAGATGCTTTATATTAAACGCTTTGTTGATAACATCATATCTTAATTTGAGGATCTCATTTAAGGCAAATTAAAGCAAACTCTTCTTGAATCTTTGTCCCCCAGCCACCAGCTGTTAATTACTTTAGGTTCTTACTTTCTATTCCAGTCCAAAAATAATAATAATAAGCGTAAAATCAAGATGTTGGTAAGTAGTTAGAGATATAATGTATTCATCATGATTCATGACTCATGAGTACTTGTGGTTGTGGGGCCAACATGTTAGGGTAGTTCATCTTTTTCTCACGTGAAAGTGTTGGGAGGGATCGAGATCAAGACGTACGCCAGTAGAGATATAAGGTATCCATGCCATGAGTACCAGTAGGGCCAACATGGGCCATGTCTATGATTGGTCTATAGGTGGCCTACTCCCATCTCTTTTGCGTGCTGAGGTTTTGTTTATGGGCTAATTAAACATGCATTAATTATATATAATAATATTCAGTTAGAGGATTCCTATAAAATTCATCTATAGCTAACCAAAAGGAATCTAATATGATAAAACAATAAAAATGGAGTAACAAGAAGATGAAGATGGATGACGGTGGTTGCATTTCAAGGATCCTCTCTGATGGTATATATAAATCTTTTTGAGGTGAGATTAATTTTAGGTTATTTTAGAGTGTTTGAGAATGAAAAATGTTAAACTTCTCTATTGGACCTCAAGCTTAGCTTGTATACAGCACCATAAAATTATCACCCAATGTTCCAAGCATCTATTGATGCAGCATTTTTTTATTATCTTACAAGCATATTGAGTGTTGGATCATGCGCTTTCAATGACATGCAAGACAACATTTTCAATGTTGACCAAAAGTGTAGCTGTGAAATTACAAAGACGATTGTGATGGAAATCAAATTTAGGCCTCAATTAATGTTTCTATCATAACCTCTTCCCTCCAATTACTCTACTGTGTTAATCCTAGTGGTAGGCTAAGGCACCCAATTAACTCTTATCAAGGCAGTATTTTTTTCATATCTCCAACGTTAAGCGTTGAGACTCCAATGAACATGTAAACTGTGTTCCATGCAACATTGAGCACTATTTGTTATCATTTGATTCTTGTTGTAATTTCATGCTTAAATTAAATTAATTGTTTTAATCTGTAAATCCTTTGATTATACGTCATTTCTAGCGTTAATTAATATTCTTACCTCTTTGGTATTTTTTCCTTTTTTTCCCTTCATGTTAGAGTAGTTAGTGAGAATTATTCATACTGAGCTGCAACAAATTAAGATACCATATCCCTCAGCAATTATATGATAAAGGTTAGGATGGTGCAACAAAAGCTTATGGGGAATATTCACATTTTTTATTTCTGTGGAAATTCTCTGCTACTTCAAATTTTGTTTTAATTAATTAGATATAGATAACTGTAGTAAGTTTGTAATTCTATTTCCATATCTTAATGCAAAGAATATGTTATCCTTGGCTTTTTTACTCACCGGAGATAATTTTTTTCAAAAATCCCTGAAATGAGTAAATTTAAAATAAATAAAAAATGGATAAGTCATGTTTGTATTTCACAAGTACGACTTTTTTTTAAAAAAAAAAGAAAAAAAGAAAGTCATGAGTTATTATACAAATTTTACGTTAAAGATAAAAATGGCAAAGTCATGAAGTGAAAACACGACTTACCTTTTTTTTTTATGTTAAAGTAATATTTTTTTTAAAACACGACTTTTTTTAAAAAAAAGAAGATAGAAGTCAAGTTTCACATACATGACTTATCCTCCTATTCTAGATTTAAAAAAAAAAAAAAAACTACATATCAATTTAAGAAAGAAAAAAAATCATTTTTGGAAATGTTTGAGATATCTTCAATCATTTACCACTCAATTTTAGTAAATAGAAAAAAAATTATAAAGATAAACTATTGATATATAATCTATTTAATATACATATGTTTATAAAATAAATTGAGTAATTTATTAGAAACAAATAAATTATTATTATTATAATATTTTCCTTTTTTTCTTTTATTTTATTTTATTTGATAGATTTTAGCGAGTTAAACCACTCACCAACGTACCTTTTTATCATTTGACGAGTCAATTCCTCAACCTACTGTTATAAACAATATGATTTTCATCGCTTTCCGTCGACAAATAAAGGTGGGTTGGCCGTTTTGTAACTGCTAACTTGTATAACATAGGATGGATAATACAAAGTAATTAATGCGCAAAATACAATAAAGAAGTTGGAATCACGTTAATCAAATATAATGCATCAAAATTGAGTCAAATGACAGATATCAAGGGTTTGCATATAAAACTAATTTTATTCGTTCATGAAATTCAGTATGATGCACACGAAAATAAGCCATTATTTAGTTTCAACCCATTGAAGGGCGAACAAAGTGGCTATAGAACACAACACATTCGTCTAAAGACATGGATATGAAAGAAAGAGACAAAAGTTGATATTTAAGCAAAGCAAACATTGGAAGATACTTGTTGGTCCGCAGAGAAATTAATCAGATACTGCAACCGTTTCCACTACCATGGCAGCACCTGTAACTAACAGATGTCACATTCATGACGCGCCCACACATGGGATTTGGACAAGTTATGGTTGCTAGCACATTTGAACTATAGTTATATGGACGATGAACATATCTCTCTTTCACCGTATCATAGTATTCTTTGAAGGCCAGATCAAAGGTTTCTTTTTCGAGCACTTTGTATTTCCACTTCTCAAAATCAACCACAGTTTGATACATAGGCTCAGCATGACCCAGAATCTTCAAGTTACGCCCTCTACTAAGAAGAACCCATCCCAATGGATCTTGTTTAAGGCAAAGAAAGGTCTTGACAACTTCTTGGATTTCACAGTCCATTCTGTCCTTGCACTCCCTATTCTGCTTCTTCCCATCTATGCCGATCCAAAAACAAGGAACACTGTCGGGGTTACCCTCCCCCAACTGGTACCTCTCTATGTTAAAATCCGCATTCTTTATATTCTCACTCTTGTTAATTTTTGCAATCGCTGCTGAGAAGTTCTGGACCCACGTGCTGTCGTTACCTCCATAGATGAAAACGTAACTACTATTATCCTTTCCCTTGGCCTGATTCACGTCGTAAACATATGTACATTAAGTAATTAATTAATCAGATAATAATTAAATACTAATAAGATACTCCAATTATATATAATTTTAATATTCATGATTATCCACGTATATTGTGATATATATGCTTCCTGTGCATGCATGCACGTACGTATATTGTATAATTGTGCTTACCGTTGCTTTGGGATCCGTTTTCTCCAATAAATTCCAAAACCATTTCCATTTTTTGTTGAGATCATCACCGTCACTTTGAGTAAACGGAAAAACTTCGATACCCCATTCAAAAATAATCTGCATTGCATTCTGATTGATTATATGGCCTTGAGGGTTGATCACAGACACAATAGGCTTGCCGATGTCAATGTTGAATTTAAATATCTCCGTTAAAACTGCACGTCCTGGTAACTCTTCAAAGTGCTCCAACACGCTCCATTTGATCTGTTCCTTCAATTTATTAAACTGCTCCTTCTGCTCGCTTTTCCACTCCCTCACGATGGGAACCCATAAAATCTTGAAATCCCCTTTTCTGACCCCTTTTACTTCTTCTCCCGGGTTCTCTTTCAATCTGTTATAGATCGAATTCAAAAGCAAAATCTCGTCTAGAATGCTGTCAAGCCCCGAAATGAACACCATCACATGTTTCTGCTTGAAAACTTGAATACCCTGTTTGGTAAATTACAAAAAAAGACATTCATTTACAATTTAATATTCACTATTCATGTGGGACACCCCGGAGATTTTCTATTTCAAACAAAATTTCTCTTTGTTTAGAAAAATGTCTCATAAAATTGATAAAAGAATCCTTATTTGTATAAAGAAAAAGTTAAGTCAGACAAAGACAAAGAATGTGTTTGGTTTTCCGTTAGAAAGCTTCAAATGGATGCTTTAGCACAGCACTAACCGTGGTAATTTCGACACCATTTTCAAATATTTTGGGAATGGGAGTTCCATTGTTAGGACCCGGAAGAAACAGAACATCGAAAAGATCTACAACATCTTTAATTTTAGTAATTCTAATGAAACGGCTTCGGACATCATCTATCTTCGCTGCAAACACATGGGGAAAATATCTTATTAGTACTAGAGGAAAAATCTCCCTAGTATTGGAGGAACAGAACCACATAAGCACTATATACCGATTTCAAATCTGCAACGTTCCAGATCAGTCTTCAACTTGATATCAATGTCAAAAAGCCTGCTTTTAAACTCTGATAATTTATGATTGCTGAAAACAAAATAAAAAATAAAAATATGCAAAACTAATCGGTCACAATTTTACTTCATTTACATTAGTCACTGTTTTTTCAACGTTAACTTATGTTTGCTTTAAATATTAGAGCTTAATTTCTATGTATCCAAATGAAATCATAATAATTAATACAAAATTCAACAAACTTACGATACACCAATGAGGTTGCCGGCAGAAGCAACAACTGCCGCAATTGTCCAATATACAACAAGAGGGATATGTTGCATGGCCTCAGCCAAGGAACGCACTTCCTCTATGTCATAACCCCTAGCAGAGATTCTTGACCACTCTATGAAGTGATTAAGCACTTCCACAAAAACTACGACCAGATCAGTCATATCTGCAGTGACATTTCTGCTTTCAACTTGGTTCAGCTGCTTCAACGAGTTCCCAAATTGTTCTGCTGTTTGAATCGCATTGAGGCGCCAAAATTCCCCATATTCCAAAGAGAAAGCAGCTAGAGATATTATTGCTTTCACATCCCAGGAGAACCCACTCAGTTGTCGAAGAATCTTAAGTGTTGTTTGGTGTGCACATTCTGGAGTGCCACGTGTCGTTATTATCTATAACAATTATATATCAGCATTTAGCACCACAACAAAACAAAAATTAATCCCCTAATTAAGTTCATCAACATATAGAATTAACCTGACAAGAAATCCGCTTCAGTGTAGTAAAGTCTGGTTTGAAACTCTCAACAGAAGTCTGTGGCAGAACAGCCTGTCCAACAATTAAATGTACCACGTGTTATTTGTTTATACGTAAGTAGAGATTTGACATAATTATATATGTGAATTGATAGAGTATAAATGTTAATTAAAGTGAAATTAAAGGGTGATGGAATTTGGTGAAGTACAGCAGTTGCTGAAACTTGAGCTGAAGCTGAGATCAAAGTGTTGTGGACAAGGTTGAGAAGGGTATCCTTGTCGCACTCTTTATCATCATTGACGTGGGTGAGATAAACTTTGTGCAGGATCTGAGAGTCTAGAAGCTCAAAAGGGTTCGGGAGTTGATCTTTCTGCTGTAGCGTGGTGGCACTTGCAGCTACGTTGGACAATGCCAATGCCATGATGATTAATTTGTATCTTCTGAGGTTTGTATTTGAGAGCAAGAGAAGAAAAGGTTTTGCGTTGTGATGTAGATGTAGAGATAGGTGCTCCACATATTTATAGTACTTTAGAATTCAGAGACTCCAAATAAACAGAGAGAGAGCAAAGCGGGGAAAAGAAAAACACAGAGTAGCTTCTGAAGCAGGCTGAGCGTGCATGAAACATGCTGTAATGATGGGGATTTTGCAATATACCCTTGAGTGATTAGGATTGTTGAGCAATGTGAGGTAGATTAGCAAGGGTATAATTGCTATTTCAGTTTAGTTATTTATCCAAGTTCTGCTTTTTTGGGGATCTTTGGTTGGTTAGGTTTTTTTATACAGGAAGCTAGCTATGCTTTGTGTGGGTGAATTTGGACGAATCAAACTTTTGCTTTTTGGAGCCAAAAGAAAAAGAAAAACGAACAAACATCCTATGTAAAGAAACCTTAATATACCGCTAATGTGTTGACAGGGTTGTATGCGTGGACGTGGAGTATTAACTTAACTACTTAAGTAACTCCAGATTAAGTAATTTTATTAGAGCAGCTCTGCCGTACCTTAACATTTTGAGGGATTTTGGAACCTTTCTTAGGTGGCATAAATATAATGGTTAACTAACACATATAGTGCCAAGTCACTTAAATGAATAGCTAAGTTATAAAAATTGCAAAATAGTCCTTCAAGTGTTAAGTTAAAAGTTTAGGATTATTTTTATTTTTAGTTCTGTAGTGGTGGCTTTACATAGGTAGAGGGTTCGACTAGTTTATTTTTTTTCTGCCATTGATACTTGAGACTTTCGTGGTTGTCTCATCTTACTCGGAAGGCTTCGCATGAGTGACGAGAGTTTCGTGACTGTTGTATCTTGGTCGGAAGGTAATTTTTATTGTTTTGGGCTTGATTTTCTTGGTCGTCTTTCAAGGTTTAGGGTTTGACATTGATTTTGTCCTTCGTTCTCTTCGTTCTGTAGGTTCATTCGTTACAGGTTTGCACCATTTCATTGCCATCGTCGTTCATTGTAAACGTTGTTGGCCGACTTTGAGGGTTTAGGGTTTGGCTTTCAAGAAGGTCATCTTTATTGTTTTCGGGTTCGTTTTCTTGGTCGACTCTCAAGGTTTATAGTTTGACATTGATTTTCTCCTTCGTTATCTTCGTTGTGTAGGTTCATTAGTTACAAATTTGTGCCATTTCGTTGCCATCATCGTTAACTACTCGACGTTCTTCGTTTAGATTTTGGCTTTCGACTTTAACTTTCGAGAAGGTAATCTCTATTCATTGTGTTCCACTTTGAATTTCATAGGTTATTCGGAAAATTAATCACTTATTTGGAATTGTCTTCTTCCTTTAGGTCGAAAAGGTAATTTTGATTGTTTGGCAGTAGCTATTCGACATTGATTTTTGGCGAAAAGGTAATGTCGTTTATTTATTTTTTTATGTTACTGTCTGTATTATGTTATGAGTTTGGGGTTTTTGTTTTAAATTTTGTGTATAATTAGTTAACAGAAAATGAAGGTTGTGGTGAAAAATGAATGTGTTTGCACTATGAATGTGTTTGCACTATGGGTTTAATGTGTTAGTGTTATACTGATATACTCTATTTTTTTTTTCTTGTATAAATTTTTTGTTATACTCTATTTTTATTTGAATTGTATTTGTTTTATTTAATGAAGGTTGCATTTTGTTTTCACATTAGTAGTTTTTTCCTTAATACTATGTTTAATTTTAATATATACATTTATTTTGGTTTAACTGTATGTATTCTTTGATAGATTAGTTATTTGAAATTCATGTTATGGTATATATTGCAGATGGATAATTGTGATAGAGAACCAACTGTTAATTTGGGTGATGATAAGGATTTAAGTAATGATGTTGTTATACTTGATGACATTGATAAAGATGATGTGAATGATGATATTGATGGAAAAGTTTGTGAAGAAGAAACTGTATCAACTGATGAATTTAAAAGAATAGCTGATTTGATAGGCGATGATATTAAAGGTTTATAATTTGGTAGTGAAGACCATGCTTTTGAATTTTATACTGCATATGCTAGGTGCCATGAGTTTGTAATAAGGAAAGATGATATACATAGAGATATAAAGGGAGATGTTATCAAACGTCTTTTTGTATGCAATAGAAAAGGTCTACGAAATAAAAAAACACTACTTGAGGGTGGATAGGAAAAGGGATCATAGGCCCATCACTCGTACTAATTGTCAAGCTAAGTTTCGTGTTTACCTTGATTATAAAACTTCTAAATGGAGAGTATCTTCATTTGAGGAAACTCATAATCATTATGTTACCCCACCCCATGATATCCATCATATTCCTAAGTACCGTGTACTTTCTGATGGTGATAAAGCTCAAGTGAATAGTTTCCATTCATTTGGTGTTAGAACTTGCCATATAATGGGATATTTATTATCTCAAAAGGGTGGATATGGTAGTATTGGTTTCTCAAAACGTGACCTTTACAATCATTTTTATCGTACCCAACTTGATGTGATTAAAGATGGGGATGTGAGAGTTGCATTAAGCTATTTTGAAGGCAAGGCTGGTAATGATCCAATGTTTTATTCAAAATTTCAAACTACAGATGATGGTAAATTGAAGCATTTAATTTGGGCAGATGGATGTAGTAGATCAGACTTCCAATGTTTTGGTGATGTACTTGCATTTGACACCACGTACAAAAAGAATAAATACAACATTCCTTTGGTAATTTTCTCTGGTTGTAATCATCATTCTCAAACAACTATTTTTGGTTGTGCTTTGTTGGCTGATGAAATTACTAAGACTTATAAGTGGGTGTTGGAGACTTTCTTGGATGCAATGCATAATAAATATCCAAGATCAGTTGTTACAGATGGTGATGGAGCTATGAGGGAGGCCATAAGACAAGTATTTCTGATGCATCACATCGTCTTTGTGCATGGCACTTACATAAGAATACTTGTGAGAATGTTAAGATTTCTGATTTTTTATCAGATTTTAAGACAGCCATGTATTCAAACTTTACTCCTGATGAATTTGAATCATATTGGAAGAAGATAATTTCAAAGCATGGTCTTGTTGGAAATAAGTGGGTTTCTAAAACGTATGATATTAAGCATTTGTGGGCTACTGCTTATTTTCGTGATAAATTTTTTGGCCGCATAAGAACGACTTCTCAGTGTGAAGCGATAAATTCAATAATCAAAACTTATGTTAGGAGAAAAAGTATTATAATGGAATTCATAGAATGTTTTAACCAAGCTTTAAGAGAATATAGGAACAATGAACACATTGCAGATTTTAAAGATTCTTTTGTTGAACCAGTGTTGACTACCTCTTTGTATAACTTTGAGCGTGAGGCTTCAAAGATATATACCATGGAGATATTCAAAGAAGTGAAGGAAGAGATAATAGTTGTTGGGGCATTGAATGTTGTTGAGCGAATACAAAATGGAGACCAATTGTTGTTCAAGATTAACATGTATTGTAATCGTATGAAAGAAGTCAATGTTGTTTATGATACAATGAAGTGTAACATAGTTTGTGAATGTCACTTATTTGAATCTCGTGGTATACCCTGTGCTCATATTTTTGTTGTTATGAAAAATGAGTACATGGAAAATATTCCTCAGAGTTTAATTTGTAGAAGATGAACAAAGACAGCAAAGATTGATTCATTATGCTCAGATACATTGGAAACAACTTCAGATGTGATGAAAAATGCTTGATTTGGGGCAGTTTCTACTGTTGCTAATAGGCTTTGTGATATTGCTGCAAATAAAAGCAATTTATTTACTCAAATTAGAGATGATTTATTAAATTTGGCTCATAAGTATGAGAAAATGTTGGATGGAAGTCACAATGACATGTCATGTGTCAACGGAGTTGGTGATCCGATAGTAGTGAAGACAAAAGGGGCTCCAAGAAAGAAAGGATTTGGTGGTAACAAAAGACGATGCAGAAACTGTAATAACATTGGCCACACAATTAGGAGATGTTCAAAGTTTGTTGGTTCTCTTGACATGAATCAAAACAATGAAGAAAATGAAGACAATTTATCAATTGCAGAATCCATTGATGATGACAATGTAATGTTATTATGTTTGACAATTAAGTTTTGTTTTGTGTCCTTACAAAAAAAATTTAAATAATGATACAAAATTTTTGTTTTTTAGGAGAAGGAAGATCCGACACATGATGATGATACAAATGTGGTTGTTGATATTTTATAAAATTTCTTCTTATTATGTTATTTACAAATTAATTTGTGTTAGTATTTGTATTTGTAATGTCTAATTTTATTTCATTTTATTGCAGAATGCGAAAGACAAGAAAAAAAGAAATGGATCAGAAAAGACAATTAAGAAAGTCAAAACCTTTAATGTAGAAAGATCTATTGTGTGCTTTATTTTGAAATTCTTTTGTTTTTTGTGTTGTTACTGTTTGAGTAATTTGATTTTGGGTTTAACTTTTTATTTGTAGAAGCAATTAAGAACTGCATCAACAAGTAGAACAACACCAGTAATCCCTAAAGTCGAAGTTGTGGTTCCTTCTTTTCCCCCTTGTAGTGGAGTTAATTCAATTTATCACCCAGGAATTTTGATTCCACCTTCATTTGCATACTTGCCATCCCAATATATTACACACAATCAAGGCCTATCTATTTCAGCTAATTCTCATTATCCATTTTTTACACAGCCTTCTCAGATTTGATTTTAAATTGTATTTAATTTTGTACGTACTTTGATTTTTGTAAAATTTTTAAATATTGACCTTTTTTTTTAATGCAGAACAATACAATGCATAATGTCAGTAGTGGTTTCTATTGGAATAATTTGCTTCAACAAACAATTAATAATGGAACTGAAACTGGTTAGTGTTTTTATAATGGATGAATGCAATTGGTTTGTTAAATTTTATGATAAATGAATTTTAATTATTGTCCTTTGTTTTAATAATGCTTTTTTTTTTCTTCAGGTGGAATTGCTTATGATCCTTAATTTTCATAATTTTTCAAGAACATGGTTGATGAGAAACAGAAGAAACGTCGTTATGTATTCTTTATAATTTATAATTTATA